GTTTTGAGTGATATTTCACTTTTCGACTTTTCGAGAGTACTCTGTCAATTCTTGTATGCTTGACAAAGATAATTCACATTTTTTGTCATATTTAGCCTTATTTGTTCAACATTTTTCGCGTTACAGTTGCGGAAAATGAGATTTGAATTGAGTTTATTAAATTAAATTTATAAATTTTATCTGTTATAACTTCTTCCTCTTTCTCTAATTGAAATGGACGCGTAACTGTGAGTATTTCGAGTCACCGCGAGTTAATTGACCGCCGCCGACACGTCGCGATCCCACCGAGTCGGTGACAGTAGTCTCTCCGGTTTTAGAAATGTAATAGGATTGCGCTTGGCTATTACCACCGGACCACGTCGTCGCGTTATCCTGCCTAAGACACCGAAGCGCCGTAAATCTTGGTCCGCGATAATCCCACGAGCGTACTCGAGTCAGGAGCGTCGGGACCGGCCGAGAGGCGAAAAGAAACCGAAGAAAAAGCGTTTCATCTGCGAGAAGTGTCGCACCGGGAGACCGCGCACGCTTATCTCATACGCCTTCGAAAACAAATGTTCGTGCATACACAAAGCCGCTTACGATACTGAATCTCAGTGCTGAGGATTTAATGCGGCGAAACGGGCGGGTCGAGAAATTACCGGGGAACCTGGAAAACATCGTCCGGTTGCGCGCAGCAAATGGCCTTTAGATGAATCGGGGAAAAGCGGAGGAAAGAAATAAGAATGAGTGTGATAAACGGTATCCTCTGTACAAAGGTCTTGCACGCTAGCTGGAAAACTATAAAGATAAAACCAGAATTTTATTACAAAAATATTATTGTAAAAAGCGTAAAATATAAAAATAATGCTTTTTTTCAATTTTATTATTAAACTTATGCCTTAAATAATTAATTATATTATTATTATTTTTCTATTCAAATGATAAATACTATTCTAAGTGGTATCACAATAGAAAATGTTCCAATGTCAAATTTTTCCATTCCAAACAAACAAAAAGAAAACTTTAATTCTTTCGCTAATAAATATTATTTTTTTTAAATAGAGAAGAAAAATTGATAGAATTGAAGAATATAAATTCCTTACCAATCCTTATTCGAGAGTAAAGAGAATCTTGATATTAAAAATAAGCTTAAGGGTCAAAGAACGAATGTACAATTATATACCATACAAAAAAAATGCACATTTAAGGCACAGTCGTCGTTTCTCGCGGGAACGCAACGTCGCACTTCGCTTCTTCTTCTTCTTCTTCTTCTTCTTCTTCTTCTTCTTCTTCTTCTTCTTCTTCTTCTT